AACTGTGTATGTGAATGGGATAAGTTTACCCATAAAAGGATGCAGAGAGCAGAATGGATCAAAAATCAGAATCCAACAATATATTGTTCACAAAAAACACACTTGAAACAAAAAGACACACAGAATTAAAATAAAGGGCTGGAACAAAATCTAATACACTTCAGCTGAAGTAAAAAAGACAGGGGTAGCAACTGTGATCTCAGACAAAGCAAGAGCAAAACTAGACCTAATTAAAAGAGATAATCAGTGAAACTACATTATGCTAAAAGGTGCCATAGACAATGAAATAATATAAAAAAAATTTACAGCAAATTTCTCTCATAAAGGCCTCATTTCTCAAATATATGCTGTGTTTAGAACTGAGTCAAATTTGTAAAAATAAGAGCCATTCCCCAATTGATAAATGGTCATAGGATATAAATAGGCTGTTTTCAAAAGAAGAAATCAAAGCTATCTGTAGTCATATTGAAAAAATGCTATAAATCACTATTGATTAGAGAAATGCAAATTAAAACAACTCTGAAGTACCACTTCATACCTATCAGAAATGACAAATGCTGGAGGGGAGAAGGGAAAAATAGGTACACTAATAAAGTGCTGGTAGAGTAGTGAACTGGTCCAACCATTCTGGAGAATAATTTGAAACCATGCCCAAAGGGCTATAAAATCATGCATACCCTTTGACCCAGCAATACCACTACTAAGTCTATATCCCAAAGAGATCAAAGGAAAAGGAAAAGGATCTATATGTACAAATATATTTATAGCAACTCTTTTTGTGGTGACAAAGAATTGGAAATTGAAGAATGCTTGTCAGTTGGGGAATGGCTAAACAATTCGTGGCACATGATTGTGATGGGGTACTATTGTGCTATAAGAAATGATGAGGGAAATGGTTTCAGAAAAACATGACAAGATCTATGTGAATTGATGCAAAATGAAGTGAGAAATGAAGAGATCACTGTGAACAGTAACAGCAATGCTGTAATGATGATCAACTGTGAAAGACTTAGCTACTCTGATCAATACCATGATCTAAGACAATTCCAAAGAACTCATGGTGAAAAAATGCTATTCACTTCCAGAGAGAGAACTGATGAAACTCTGAGTGTAAATTGAAGTATAATTTTCTCACTTTATGTTTCTTGCTTTTTTTGAAATACGGCTAACATGGAAATGTTTTGTATAATTTCACATGTATAATTGATATCCTATTGCCTGTCTTCTCAGTGGATGGAGGAAGGACTGGGAGGGAGGAAAAGAATTTAGAACTCAAAATTTAAAAATAAAAGAATGCTATTAATTAGTTAATTAAAAAAATTTTTTTTTCCTATATATTTGAGCCCTAACGGGCTCTGGGTCTCTGTTTTACTTCTCCACTGTGTGCTTCCCTGAGACTGTTCCCCCTTGACATCTGTTCTTCCCCTCCCTTTGTGAATAGTAATAAAGTTTTGTTAACTGTTGTTCCTGTGTGGCTCAGCTGTTCTTCATCCCAACTTCCCTGCAACATCTCTTCATTAGAGGTCTTCAAGAAGGCATTTTGTATGATCCAACCATTTTGGAGAGCAATTTGGAACTATGCCCAAAGGACTATAAAAATGTGCATACCCTTTGACCCAGCAATAGCTCTTCTAGGGCTGTATCCCAAAGAGATCATAAAAATGGGAAAAGGACCCACATTTACAAAAATATTTATAGCAGCTCTTTCTGTGGTGGCAAAGAATTGGAGATTGAGGGGATGACCATCAACTGGGGAATGGCTGAACAAGTTGTGGTATATGAATGTCATGGAATATTATTGTGCTATAAGAAATGATGAGCAAGTGGACTTCAGAAAAACCTGGAAAGACTTGTATGGACTGATGCTGAGTGAAGTGAGTAGAACCAGGAGAATGTTGTACACAGTAACAGCCATGTTGTGTGATGACTAACTTTGATAGACTTCTTAGCAATGCAAGGATCTAAGACATCTCCAAAAGACTCATGATGGAAAATGCTATCCACATCCAGAAGAAGAACTATGAAGTTTGAATGCAGATCGAAGCATACTATGTGCTCTTTTTTTTTCTTCTGTTTTGTTTTGTTTCCTCGTTCTTGTGGTTCCTCCTACTGGTTCTAATTCTTCTTTACAACATGACTAATGTGAAAATATGTTTAATAGGAATGTATATGTAGAGCCTATATCAGATTGCACACTATCTTGGGAAGGGAGGTGGAGAAAGAGGGGGAGAAAATTTAAAACTCAAAAGCTTATGGAGGTGATTGTTGAAAACTAAAAATAAATTAATAAAAAAGAAGGCATCTTATAATATGGATATGGTCACTGAGATCCCTTCCAGCTCAAAATTTTTGCAGTTTTGTAATAGCCTAATTCCTTTATTTTACAGATGAGGAAACTGAAGAGACTATCTTGCTACCTCTTAATGAGTCATTGTCATATTAGTTATAGCCTCAAGTCAGTGACTAATGAAGTTCAAACACCAGACCATTATATCTTCAGACAAAAGATAAAAAGCAGGGTAAGACACTAACATACAAGACAAAACCACTTACATGTGGATGTATGGATGTATGTATGCATGTATGTATGTATGTATTCATCATTGATCTCATCAGCTCCAGTTAAGTTTTTTATATGTAACAATTCAACAAACATTTATTAAGCACCTACTGTGTGTAAGGTAGTGATGCTTAGGATTCAATCCCTATGAGGGCTAGATAGCTTTACATTGTTCCACACTCACAAACTGCAACTGTAACAGCTTCTGAATAAATGTCTTAGTCATAAGGGGCTGGATTAGGGAGTATGGACAGGTTAATGTCAATTCATCGCTTATTTCAAAAATTGGAAGATCTACTTGTGGGATCTTAACAGTGTGGGTACTCCCTCTTCTACCTGTCAAAGACATCAATTTATCTATATCTTCAGAGGCGGCCTTCAAGAATTGCTATGGCCAAAATTCATCACTTTGTAGCCAGCCTGGTAAAGGGTTATTTTAAAGACTACCCACCTGTATAGAAATCTATCTTACCCTACAGGAAAGTAGGAGGGGAAGGGGATAAAAGAAGGAGAGGGTGATAGAAGGGAGGGCAGAATGGAGGAGGGGGGTAGTCAGAAGCAAAACACTTTTAAGGAGGGACACGGTGAAAGGAGAGAGAAAATAGAATGAACACAGGAAAACAGGATGGAGGGAAATACCGTTAGCAATGGTAACTGTGAAAAAAAATTTGAAGGAAGTTTCTCTGATAAAGGCCTCATTTCTCATACATATAGAGAACTGAGTCAAATTTATAAAAATAAGAGCCATTCCCCAATTAATAAATGATCAAAAGACACAAATTTTTCAGATAAAGTAATCAAAGCTATCTATAGTCATGTGAAAAAATGTTCTAACTCACTATTGATTGGAGAAATGCAAATTAAAACAATTCTGAGGTACTGCCTCTTACCTATTGGAGTGGCTAATATGATAGAAAAGGAAAATGACAAATGTTGATGTGGGAAACATAAGACATTAATGCACTGTTGGTGGAGCTGTGAACCAATTCAACCATTCTAGAGCAGTTTGGAACTATGCACAAAGGGCTAAAAAATCATGCATACCATGTGACCTAGCAATATCACTGCTAAGTCTGTATCTCCAAAGAGATAAAAAAACAAAAAAGAAAAAGACCTATATGTACAAGCACCTCTTTTCTAGTGGCAAAGAATTGGAAATTGAGAGGGTGCCCATTAATTGAGGAATGGCTGAACAAATTGTGGTATGTGACTATGATGGAATACTATTGTGCTATAAGAAATAGTGAGCAGGATACTCTCAGAAAAAAAACAAGGAAAGACTTATATGAGCTGATGCAAAGTAAAATGTACTGTGTACAATATAACAGCAATATTATAAGATAGTCAGCTATGAATGACTTAGCTATTCTCAGCAATACAATGATCCAAGACAACTCTGAAGGACTTAGGATGAAAAATGCTATCCATCCCCACAGAAAGAACTGATGGTGTCTGAATACAGATTGAAGCATACTTTTAAAAATTTATTTTTCTTGAGTATTTTTTTTGGGGAGGGTCCTATGTTTTCTTTTACAACATGACTAATTTGGAAATGTTTTACATGACTACACATGTATAACTTATGTCCAATTGCTTGCCTTCTCAGTGGAGGTGGGGAGTAGGAAGGGAGAGAATTTGGAACTCAAAATTTTAAAAATGAATGTTAAAAATTGTTTTTACATGTAACTGGGGAATAATAAAATACTAAATAAATGAAAATAAATAAAGGCAAAAAAACCCCAAAAGAATGAAAAAAAACCCTATACTTACCTACAAAAAAAAAGTTTTGATACTTAAAGCTCTGCTAAGACTTTTGGGACACTGTGTTTCTCATTGTTAGTAACATAAAACAACAACACACCTCAGATCATGAATGAGACTTTGTGGTTAATATGAAGAAGAGACATTTCCTGTGCTGCTTCCAGAGGGTAGTGTCTTATGCTTGAGTATTTGAACTCTATACAGGTACTACTGCAACTCTGAAAGGCTTTGTTGAGAAATCTGTTTAGAATGTTTACCTATATTTTATAGTTCTCTTCTAAGTCAACATGAATCTTTGAAAAAAAAAAAGGCCACCCACCTGAATTTGAATGACAGTTCACCACTGGGTCCTTATACAAAGCCTTTTTATTTAGGTAGACCATGCTAGAGTTTGGGCTCCAGTGGTATACACCTAGAGAACCCAAGTTCACCTCTACAGTACAATGAAGTATCAGAGGAAGACTTTAGTAGAAGCTATCAACATGGAACCCATGCATCACTACTGCTGAAAAAAGAACTCCAAGCATAAGCTCCATTTATGGTTCATCCTCTGCATATTAAAGACAGGCAGTAATCTGCAGATGATCAAGAGGACAATACAGTAATAATATACCACTGTCATATTAGTTGCAACCTTAGGTCTCCTCCCTCTTTCCAGGGTGTGTCTCCCCCCTCTCACCTGGAGAGCCTGGTGGAGTTTTTCAGCAAAGTACAGTGGTATGTTCCTGATTACGGAGGCTGTAAAAAGCAAAGGAGAAAATGAGAGAGGTAAACATGAGGATCCCCAACTTTCCATTCCAACAGAGACTCAGTGGCTCAGAGCATGCCCTTACCTAGGGTGAGAAGAGCAGTCTGGGCACTTTCATGAAAATATTTCTGGATGCCATCCTCTATCTCCTGACCACTATGTCTCTGATATTGATCAAACACTATTGGGGTTTGAGGAAGAAACAGAAAAGTGTGGGGAACTGACCATGGAGGAAGGGACTCCCCTTTAGTCAGGGTCTATCCCTAGTAAGTATTGGGGTTCCATATTACCTCGGTTGAGGTGTTCGGTATTTCGTTGGGTAAGAATCATGATCCAAGTTTCCCCTGTGCCCATTTCTCCAGCCTCTTGTAATGCCTGGTTGGGAGAAATGAGCCAAGAAGAGAAAGGGACCTAAAAATGGTGGAAGAACCATCTACTCCCCATGGAAGACACTGGGGGCAGGTCCCTATGTCCCATGCGTTGGCATGATGACACCTCTCATCCCTCGGGACCATAGCTGTTTTAGCCACCCTAAGGAACAAGGTGCCCTTGTCCTATAGACCACCTCTCTCCCACTTCCCCCAAATCCGCTCCCTCCTGCCCTCTGCCCTGCCATTTCTCTTACCTCCCAGGACTCAGGCTCTGGTCTAAGATCCTTCTTTCCCCATCCCTTCCCAAATCCTTAGCACAGGCTATGGCCCCTCCCGAATTCTCTGCCCTCTTGAACATGTTCTTGCTATCAGACCTGTCCTGGGCCTGAAGCAGAGGGACATGGATGAGGAAAGAGGAGGAAGGCAGGAGCGAGTCTGGTTTGGGGTGGGGAAAAAGTGAGGAACAGGGGCTGAAACAAAGTAACATGAGCTATCGGCTCCAATGGTGTCTTAGCCCCTTGTGCTCCTCTGCCCCAGGGTACTGAGGAGCCTGTCCTCTGAAATGACTAGTGGCTCTAAGTCTAGGTCTGTGATCCTAGACTACCCCAGGATAAAGGGCCCATCATCACTCCACCTTCCAGGTTACCTCCCTCTTCCCCACTAGTAAGTCTGCCAGGCCTGAGGCTGCTTGCCCCCAGTTGTGCACCCCCCCCCAGGGCAAAGGGCTTGAGAGAAGGGAGGCCCATCATCATGGTGACAGGAGAGCCAGCAGGGTCTAGCCATGTGGGACTGCCAGGGTAGCCATGATGTGTGTAGAAGAGTACCATGCCTCCCCCTCTCACAGAGCTATGTGGCTGGGGGGCCAGAGTAAGCTGGTGTCCTATCAGAAGGGAGCTGACCCTGGGCCAGGGGCCTCCCACCTTTCCCAGGGGTAGGATCCCCCCAAGGCCCAGGGCTGAAGCCAGGCCCATTCCTAGAGGGTCCTGGTCATTCCCCCACCCCCACTGCAAGGGAAGGCAAATCTGGCAGTTGGTGAGCTCACTTCCTGTGAGTCAAAGAACCATATGGTCAGACACACACACAGAGGTGTCAGGTGAGACCCCTACCTGTCTCCCAGACACACCCCTGAAGGGCCTGAAGCTGGGAGATGGATACCCTATTTCCCCCCACCATCCCCCTATGTGGGGCAGAGGGATGGCTGGGGCTGTGCCTAGGTGGCCCCAACTCACCTGTGCATCCTGCTCTGCCAAGTTGTAATCCTTTATCCCAGAATAGCTCTCCCGGGTGCCCTGGAGGTTGGGGTTGAGTTTAGAGGGAACATATTGATAGGGAAGCTTTTTGTTTCTGTTTCTTTTTCTTTTTAAACAAACAGCTCTCACTTTTATTGTACTTCACATTTATTGCAAAATAATTTTCCTCAAAACTACTCCCTTGGTGGGGGCAGCTAGGTGGCACAGTGGGTAGAGCACCAGCCCTGGATTTGGGAGGGCCTGAGTTCAAATCTGGCCTCAGACACATAACACTTACTAGCTGTGTGACCCTGGGCAAGTCACTTAACCCTATTGCCTAGCCAAAAATAAATTAATAAATAAAACTACTCCCTTGGGGAAGGGGAAGGAGTGTGATTATCCCCATTTCACAGATGAGGAAACTGAGGCCCAGAGAAGTCAAACAACTTGCCCATGGTCACCCAGCTAGCAGACAGAAAAGCTAGGATTCTAAATCCATGTCTCCTGATTCCATGAATTTGATATTCTTTCTACTATCCTGTGTGACCAGTAGAAATTAAGCCCCAGGACTCCTTGAAACCTTTCCCCGCTTCTATTCATACAGAGATTCTCTCTTGTCCTCCATCCCCAAAGGCCCCCTGAGCTGAAGAACACAAGGTCAGGCTTCCTTACCTTAGCCAATGCTAGCAGCAAGTCCCTCAGAAGGCCGCTTGTCTCTGATCTTACATCATTCTCAATCTCCACTTGAAAATCTAGGGCATAGTCCAGAGTGAATATCAGAGTGAGTGGGGAAATCTAAGTTCTGTATGGTCTCCTGATCTTTCTAATTTGAACCACCAGGGCTAGTCTTAACACTTGACCCACGGCACCCAGCAAGCTCCAGACCCAAAGAATACAGGTGGCCACTGGCTCCTGGCATTTAGGGCCAAAGTATCATGACTACCCCTGGAAATACTTCTGAATTGTAAGTAACATGTACATAGCCAAATGCTGGGAGGGAAATTGTTTGACCTCAGTGGCCTGGTAACTAAGGGACGATGAGGAGAGAGAGAGAGAGACAGACAGACAGAGAGAGCGAGAGATAGAGAGAGAGAGAGAGAGAGAGAGAGAGAGAGAGAGAGAGAGAGAGAAGGATGAATGGATGGAAGGAAGAAAAGAGGGAAGGAAGGAGGGAAGGAAGGAAGGAAAAAAGAAAGGAAGAAATAGGAAGGGAAGAAAGAAGAGAGGGAAGGAAGAAGGAAGGAGCCCAGGTTTGGAGGCAAGATGCTCAAGCCCTGGTTTCCTTACTAGAAGAGAAGGGAAAATGATTCTAGATCTGGGCTGGGAGAGAGGATGCCTGAATTCTGATGCTCTGTGGAAAAGGATATAAGGAGAAAGGATGGAGAAGGGGGAACACTGAGAACTGGCTTTTGGAGTTAGAAGACCTAAGGTCAAATCAATTCAGAAACTAGCTGTGTGACCCTGAGTAAGTCACTTAACCTCATTCTGCCTCATTTTCCTCATTTTAAAAATGGAGATAATAATAATAGCACAGACCTTCCAGGGCTGTTATAAGGATCAAATGAGATATTTGTAAAGTGTCTGGCAAATCTTAAAGTGCTATAGAGATACTAGCTATTATTATGTAGAGAGAAACCAAGGGAATAAAGGGCCCAGGAAAGGGTAAGGAGAAGCAGGTATCAGATTAAAGGACGAGGCATCTAGGCGCTGGGCTGGGCAGGACCATGGCCATAGTCATAGGAGCCTGGCACCCAAAAGGTATGCTGAGCGATGGATTAAAGATGAGAGTCCCTATCTTCCTCTGGGCTATGGCCAGGCACCACTTAGCTTGATGTGGTGATTGATAACAGTGTGTCGGTATGTTTTGTGGGGAGGAGAGTTGAGAAGAGATAGGGAAAGGGGAGGAATGGATATCCTTGTGATTACAAGAGTCTAAGTATTATTAATCCAAGGCCCTAGGCTGAAAGGGCTAATAATTGTCTTCTCATTTCTGAATGACTACACTTGGCTTTTTTCTAAGGGGAAACTGAGACACTAGTAGAGAGAAGGGCTCCTAAGGATCTCATCAGAGGGTAAAATATTAGCATTTGGGCTCCAGGACTCCTCCCCTAAATGGACAGTGATGGAGTTGAAAGACTGGGGAGGACTGAAAGCTTCTTTCCCTTCAATGGGATGTCCCCATTGATTCCTTTCTGAGTCCCTAGCCACTCAGACCCATTACCATGTTTGTAGATAGTCAGACACTCCTGTAGCTGCGGTGGGGAACGCGTAGAAAGGATTTCCACTCCTACATCCTCAGCAGAACTTATATCCTATAAGAAACCAATGGTCTAGTCTGTGACTGAGACATAATGCCAGCTGGAATGGTGGAAGTAGAGACAGAAGGAAGATAGTGGCTGTTTCTACCCCTGGAGGACAGCATGGACCAGTGACCCTAAGAAGGAGACTGAAGCAGAGATCAGACTTTAAGCCCATAGGGTAATGATGTTAGAAAGTCTCCCCTCTCAAGCCCTGGCCAAGCAGTGATTGGGAGATTGGGAAGGCAGCTCCCAGGTCAGAGAACAGATTCTTGTTTCCAAGACATTTGTAGCACATTTCCTCTTCTAATACCTTCAGTGCTGCCCTTAGTTCATGGGCATCATACTGGGCTGCGGGTTTCAGCAGTGCCACCACAATCTTCTCCAAGCTTCCAGAAAGAGCTGCCTGCAGGGATTTCAGTAAGTCCTAGGATAAATATACAGTAATTAAGTTCTAGAGCAGGGTGGGCAGGAGTGATAAGGCTGGCCAATGCAGGGGGCAAAGGAGCCCAGTTTTGTGGGAACCTGGAGAGCTGTGGTGAATACCACGTTCATGTTGGGTAGTCTTCCTTGTGGTGAACTTGGGAACAACTTCATATGGACAAGTGGGTGCATTTCAGCTAAATAAACAGCTCTTCCCAGTGTCTCCCAAGGGACTGCTCCCTCTTTTTCTTCTTACCTGCTGGGTGCGCTCCTGGAAGGCTCGGGCAATAAGTTGCCTTTGTTCACCATTGCGGTTGGTCAGCACATCCACTATGGTGCCCTGATCCACACCTGAACCAGGACAGAGGGCAGAACCCAGCCAGGGAGTTTTTGAAGGTTGAATCACCCAATATAATATAGTAAAGACTAGGGCCATAAGATATACTGGGGCTAGAACCACTTTGGGAAGGACAAGTGCTATGAAGGTACTAGATTGGGGTGATTTCTGTTACTTGTTTTTAAATGATCATGCAAATGATATGCTAAACAACATGTAAGCATGTCCCCATTCATTTTCAGTCTCCAGCTCACTTTGTATAATAGGGGAATTCTTAAGAACAGAGAAGGGAGATCCCTGACCCATAGAGGCAAGATAGAGGAACAATGGGGAAGGAGAAATCACCTTGGCCTGCAATAGCTTCTAGTAGCCGCTGTACATCCTTGTCCACATTGAAGCTCAAAAACGGCCTGAGAGTCCCCAGGGTACCCCAAGCTGCAGTCTATAGAAATAGAGGAGAGTTGCTATTTGGTTGAAAGAGTCCAAGAAAAGGATGACATGCCTAATGTCAGTGCCTCAACCTGACTCTCAGCCTAACCTACTAAGTGGTCTAAAGGCCTTTATTTACATACCTGCCCCTAGGGTCACCCCAGCCCATTTCCTAGACCATCCTCATAGTCTTACCTTGTTGGCCAGGCCCAGGTGGCTGAGGATCTCATGAACCAGGGATGACTCCATCCTCCCATTGCTCACAGACATGATGTTAGCAGCTTTGGGGAGAGAAGCAGGAGCTAAGGTGAGCTTTCCTGTCCCTCTTGGTCTTCTTTGTCACCTAGAAACCCCAGGCTTAGACTCCCCTTCCCATTTCCTACACCTTCTCTTCCCACCCAATGTTTCTCTTCTGTCTATTGTAGAAAAAACACCATCAACCTGCTAGGCAGGTTTGGGAGTAAGGGCAGAAGCCAGAGGAACAGAAGAAAAAAAGTCCCCACTGTTCCTATGTCCCTTTGGGGCTACAGGAATTAAGAAGTGCAGCTATAGATAGGACTTCCACCAATTATACCAAGGACTCACCCTAATCCCAGGTGATGGTCCCTCCAATACCAGATCTATGGTCTAAAGGAGATTTCTCCCTTTAAGGAATCTTTATCCTTCACCTCCACAGGCTACTGAGTTCTCAAGGGTATTGAATCTTGGGGCAGGGTAGGAAATGAGTGTGTATAGGGAGAGATAAGGAGACCTATCCTCATCCTTTAAGGCCAGAGCCCCAGCTTCTGAACATTTTCCTCCTCACACCTGCTTTTACCCTGTATCCATCTATCACTTCACCTTGCCTCCTTTGTCTTCCATTCATCTCCCTTTAGATCCTAGGCTGGGATTCTTTAGTCCATGGGCACAATCCATATACAGGTATGTGTGTACTTATGAACCTAGATCAGTACATGCAATCATGCAGACCAGTGTATCTGTGAAAGGCAGACCTGCCCAGCCCATCTTGAGAGTGCAGAAAGACCCCATCATGTGAGGGTGTAGGATCAGAGAGCTTACCTGGAGCAGAGGGTCCAATGTTTATCCAGTGTTGTGCGTGGGACCAGCTTCTCTGTGATAGTGAAGGGAAGGGGGTGTGTGCAGGACCAGGCTGAGTCGTGAGTCAGGTGACCTCCCTTCCAGACCAGACCAGCTGGTGTCTCCTGCCCTTGGCCCCTCCCAGCTGTGGGAGAGGATCTGGCTGTACCTGGGCACAAAACCCCACACTTCCCTGCCTGTCCTTTCTTTTGGCTCAATCTGAACCTCATTCATCCCACAGTCTCCCTCTGTGCAGTTCAGTGCCAGACACTAGGGGCTTTGTGTACTGTTTTCCCTAAGGGGGCCAGGAGGTAGGGGCAACAGAAGCCTGGCTCTAACTCTGGCTCCTAGCTCCCAGATCCCTGGAGGGAGGGTAGAGGGGGCAAGTCAGACAGGCTCTAGGACTGATCCCAGGTTTGATAGCATTGCAGAGAACTTGTTGGGGCACATGCCAGGAGGGACACCCCTGTGACAGGCCCCCAGAGGGGTCCCAGCCCAAATCTCTTTAGACCGCTCCCTACATAGACAACTTGGTGCTGCATTCATAGCAGCAGGGAAGGGATTTTACAATCCCGGGCAGTGTAGATAGCACCCGGTTTATCTCCCTAGAAATCTAAATAAAGAGGAATTTTAGGTGGGCATACAATGGAGGGGGGGGAATAGGGAAGGGGACCTATAAAAAGAGACATGGGACTAGCTTTGAGCTTAAATATGTGATTCCCAAGGGGTCACAATGTGGGGGAAGAGGGTCACAGGAGACTCTAAGATCTTTGAGCCTGAAGATTCAGCTTTTCACCCGTGGTGGTTGTCCGCTGTCCTTTTGCTTTATTGGTTCACCAGCTGTGCTGTTGGTAGGTGATGCAATCCCAGCAGCTGGGCCCTGCCTCCTTTTGGGGCCCATCAGTACACAGAGCAGCAGGTGAACAGCAAGTGAACAGTACTGTGGTGCAGCAGGGGGCCCTAGAGGACTCCACAAGTCTCATAATGTACCCTCTGAGGACTGAAGACAGCCCTTTTCCCATTTCCAGGGCATGTCAGACTATCTGTACTCCTTGGAGCACTCTCTCTCTTCACAGTAGGCAAAGAGCTTTTCTGTTTCAAAACTGTCCCTCCCTCACCTCACCTAGACCCCGTAATGATTAGGTTACTTCTAAAAAGTAGATGGTATCAATTCTCATGGTGCCAGGCCACTGGGAAGAGATTTCAGCGATGGTAGGCACCTCTGATCTCTCTTCCTCCAATGCAAAAAAAAAAAATGCAGATAACACCCACACGCCTGGGATAAATGCGTAATTGCTCCTCTGGGGAGCAATAGGGGAGTAGTCCAATTGAGGCCCTTCTCCCTAGAGTCTCTCAGCCATAACCTCTAAAAGCCCACAAGAGGGCACCAATGTCAAGCACCTTGGTCTTCAGCAGGTCCAGAGAAAGGGTCTTGCCTCCGGGTGGCCGTCTTTGGTCTGTAATCTCCCCTTCCCTCTACCCCAGCTTTCCAAGTCTCTGAGGGGAAAATCAACGACACCCCTGGGACAGAGATTACTGGGTGGAACTGGCCCAAGTCCTGAAAGGTCACTGACAGGGAGAGGAGCAAAGATGAGAAATAAACAGGATAAATGTCCTGGTAGCAGGAGATTATACCTACTCATCCGTTTTTCTCTTGCTCCCCAAGTGAGCTGTCTTGCTCTACAGTTCAGACCAGTTCATGACATGAATGGCTTGGTTTTACTACTTGAGTTCTCCACTGCTAATTCAAGGGGAAAATTCAGAGAACACAGTTAGGGTCATTCAATCAGTCATCAACAAGTGTTAATTAATTGTCTACTATGTGGCAGGGATACAAAAACCAAAATGAAATTGTCCCTGCCCTCAAGGGGCTTCCATTAGATTGGGAGAGACAATATATAAGTGTACATGTATACATATATGTCTATATGTATGACACATAAGTATATAAAATATAAAAAATAAATACAAGGTAAATTTTTTGGGGGGTGGGAGGCACTAGCAATTGAGATCTTGAAAGACCTCATGCTTTTGCGTACAGGAAGAGAAATATAGCCAGAAGGTTCTCCTCCTTCCCCCAGTCCCTACCACAAATTTCCCCACAGTGTTTCTCTCCACTTCACCCATTCCCCTTAGGCTATAGTCCTGGATCCCAGCTGAAGAAGCCTGTGCTTCTTCCTTCTCAAACACAGTCCCTTTTCTGCCATTAAGTTGGTGGGACTCCAAACAAAGATCTTGAGTGGAATGAGGATACTTTCTTTCCTCCCTTCCCTTTCCATGAGTCCCCTAACTAACCAGTTTGAATGAGAAAGCAGAACAGCTCGCTTTTGGCAAGAGACAAAAAATGAGTAGGTCTAATCTCTTGCTACCAAGACATTTGTCTTGTTTCTTTCCCATCCTTGCTCCTTTCCCCATCAGTGACCTTTCAGGCTTTGGGCCAGTTCTGCCCAGTACCCTCTGTCTCAGGGGGACCCATTGATTTTTTTTCCTCCAAACTATTTCAGTCCTGTACTGAAGTCCCTACTAGGCATTGTTTCCCTTTCCCACTGTCCCTTCTATGTTGGGCTGTGTTTCCCCGACCTGGAAAAAGATTTGCAGTATTCTAACTCTCTAACTATCCTGGTAGCCCTCCTAAGCCTTAGGAGCTAAAGGCACTGTGGTAGCCTTGGGCACCTCCACCTCCCTAACACTTCAGTAGGCCTATGCAAAGGAAGTGAGTCACTCTACTTGTCACAGGGGCACTGTGGGTGTGGTCATACCAGTGCAGCAAATGCCTGGGTGAGGGGATGAGTGAGGTTAACACTCCCAGGACAGTTGTTGAGATAAGATCACAGTGATAATGACAAAGCTAGTAACAGCACCCTAATACTAGGTGGGGGCTTCGTTTTCTCTTCAGGACAGATGCCTGCTTCCCTCCTTGACAGGCAGCAAGGGGGTTATAATCATTATTTTTCAGGCCCTGGCTGAAGTCTCCCTCTGGGCAGTTCTACCGCCTCAGAACACACACACACACACACACACACACACACACACACACACACACGACCTACCTCCCCAGAAAAGTTATTAGTATCCTGTTCTGCTGGAACAGTAGCAGAAAGGATCAGGCTAGGGACAGAATAGATTTGGAAGTGGCAGGTGCCACTGGGAAACTAGAATGACTAGTGCCTGACTGCATGTCCCCTCCTCCGAATACAGCTGGCAGCTGAGCTCTGAGGGTGGGCTGGAAGGAAGATGGAAGGCAGGAGGAAAGTAGTTGTGGGAATGGAAAACTGAAGAGTAGAGGAATAATTGGGAATGCTGGGAGCTAGCTTGAGGGGGAGAATGAATACAAGGCAAAAGGGGAACCTAGCAGGCTTGAACAGTAGAGGGAGAATTAAGAGGGTCTGGAAGGAGTAAACTCTGGTCTGCCCTGAGTAGTGTGCTAAAGGGGTGAAGACACAGAAAGCAGTCTGGGACAGCAAGGTACTAGAAAAGGTACTCTATGTACCTGGAACCAGAGAGTTGTGGAGGATGGAAAGGAGACAGTTAGAGGAGGAGGAACTCTGAAGACCACAGCTAGATAAGGACTGGGGTAGGTACAAGAGGTTATTCAGGGCTAGAGAAAGAGCTGGGACCCTGGAGTAGGGAGAAGATGCTAGGAAAGGCAGATGGGGAATTGGTGAAATATGGAGAGCAGGCTAAAAAACAATATAAAAGAGAGAAATCAAGAACTGGAAATCTGGGAGAGAGTAGAACTAATAAAGTATATATAGTGATTTTTGTTTCAGATCAAAAAATTGGGGCATGTGGTCTGAAAATGGGTATCCCTTTTACAAAAACTTATTATTTCTCTTCTTAAACCTTTCTTGTGACTGTCTCAGAAAATCCAGGTTGTGTGGGCACAACAGAAAAGGGAAACCTAGGAGAATTAAAATTGGAAAGGGGTCTGGGAAAATGTTAGTATGTTAGAGGGCAGGGGGACCTGACTTGACCAGGAAGGCTTATGAACAAGGCCTCCCAAAAAGTAGGTGGCAAATAGGTTCTAGAGCTGAGGACGAAGAGGAAAGAAGGACATCTGGGAGAACCCTTTCAGAGACTAATGGGATCTCTAAAGGTGAAAGCATGAAGGTTCAACTTGGGCCCAGGACACCTCTGCAGAAAGGTTAATAAGTTAATTGATATGAAACTTCATAGCCTCCTGCTCCTTTCTTCCTCTACAAGAAGGCCTCAGACCATTAGTCACATTCTCTGGAAAGTGGAAAGGATGTCAGACAAAAAGTGATGACTAATATTTTCAGATAAGAGGTGGTGGAGACGGATGATGATCCTTGACCTTAGAGAGGATCTCAACCATGCTTATTGGCATCTTAGCCAGTTTTGGGGGGGTGCACTGAGATCCAGGCACTCCAACATCAAAGTGTGGAGAAGCGCCAGTCAATACCTACTCTTTCACCTCTAGTCCTACAGGGAAGATAGGTAAGAAATGTGCTGAAGTCACCAGTTCGGGGAACTGGAGACTGAGGCAGTTGGGCTGAAACTATGTAACTATCTGTAACTAGGGCAAAGGATATAACAGAGTGGAGGCGAATGGCATAGAGTACTATCATCACCTCCCATTTTTATTATTCAGTTTAACTTGCCTAAATAGTATTCAGAGCCTTCCTGTGCCCCAGAGGCAAGTTGAACCCTACCAAGGTCATGCTCACCAACCCTTCGCAAGATCGATCTTCTTCTTCTAGTTCAAATATTTGAGTGATCTTTGTGGTCAGAAAAGTCCACTGACCTTCGCAACTTCCCACTCTTTGCTTTGGGAAGCCACTCACCTCCATCTGATGCGCTTTGAATTCAAGTGGCAAATGCACATTTTCCCCTAAGTCCAAGATCCCGTTTCTACCTGCGGGGCTTAGCTAGGAATGAGGTGGGGTGGGGTGAGGCCGGCAGGAAGCACTGAGGAGGAATCTGTTTTCTGACCACCCACAAGGTCCCCTACCTCAGCAGCAGGGCTGAGGCGGGAATGGGTCGGGGTTCGATCTGTGGCTCGGCCATTGATTGCTAAGGTTTGTAGCAGACCCCCCCCCACCCCCGCTCCCGCCTCCGCCCCCCCCCAGCCCTGCCCAGCCCAGTCTCTCCCTCCTACTCCCCCGACGCCCCGTAGGCTCCCGCCTAGGCTCAGGCTGACGCTCTCGACTCTTCCTAGACTTGGGCTGGGGATCGGACTCCGCCGGCGGCGGGAGGAGGGAGCGAGCGGGCAGGCGGGCAGGCGGGCAGGCGGGCAGGCGGGCAGGCGGAAGGGGGAGGAGAGGAGAGCAGCCGAGTCCTGTGGAGTGAGGAGGTGGGGGAGGGAGGGAGGACTGAGGAGGTGAGAGCGGAGGACAGCGCGGCCACCGCGGACGCTGCCAAGTGAGTCTCCACTCCCGTCCGGGCTCCGGGGGGCCCGGGGAGGGGACGGAGGGCGGGAGGAGGGGGAAGCACGACCGTGGGGCCCGGACGAAGTTGGTCCGCGTGGAGGGGCGCCCTGGCTCGTTCCTGGCGCTGCCTCCGCTCTTTGGGTTCCCCGCTGGCGGCCAGCCCAGCCTCTAGGGCCGGGGAGCCCGCGAGGCGTTCGAACTGCCCGGCTCCAAGGAGCCCGGGCCGGGGCCGGGGCGGCCGCTGCCTCCCAGGCCTCCGCCTGCTCTGCTCATGGCGGCCGGAGCCTGGGGGGAGGGAAGGGACGGCCAGGGGAGGGACGAGGCCTGAGCCGGGCCTGGCTGGGCCCCCCCGGCTCCTGGCCCCACCAAGGCGGGGCCCGCAAACTGGCCCATTCTCCCGGCACCTCCGGGCTCTGCTTTCCCTTCGCCCCCTTCCGCGCCAGGCCTGGAGATTTCTCCCACTGGGCAACAGGTCCCGGGGAGGGAAACCTCGCTCAGGACCACAAAAAGGGTGCGGGCCTAACTCTCACTCATTGAGGTGAGGCAAAAGAAAGAAAAAGAACCAAGAGGCTGTTTACAGCAGCCTCCGACCTGCCCGTGTGCCGGCCCGGGTGCAGAGTAGGGTTGGGCAGCGCCTCACCCCATGTGCCAGCAAAGAAGGAAAAGGGTTGCCTGGTGTGGCCACCTTGGAAAGGCTAGCAGCCCACATCTGCTTAACGGGAAACGGGAAGGAGTGGTTAAGAAGGGCCATCCCTGGCTCCTCGGGGCCTGCCTCTCCTTGCACCGTTATGGGGTGTGTGTATGTGTGGAGGCTGGGGCTGGGGGATGCTGGTTGAGCTGGTTCCCTGTACTGCAGGCTGCTAATTACAGAAGTGGGAAAGGCAAATTGACAAGTGGGTTAATTGCAGCTGTCTGGCTAAAGTACCTGGCCCATTTGGGGGCTTCTTTTACTCCTAGGTTTTACCGCCTTCCTCCCGCCAACCTAGTTAAGTTTTAGCTGGAGGTGTTTGTACCCTTGGCCGAAAAGTCCTAAGTTCGTTCTCTAACGTGGAAGTTCTAGACAAAGCACGCTGGTCTCTGAGGTTCTTTGGAACCTGGCCTGTGGGCCCTTTTCCTTCAAAGTATCAGGTTGGGAAGGGCTTTGACAGGGGATGCCTCTCCCACTAGGCCCACAGAGGAGCTGTCACTAAGTGGGTGTGTGTGTATTGGCCATAAAAAGCTTCAGTGACTTTCTATTTTACTGTGTTTGGTGTATAGGTGCTTGTGTTTGTCATTTTGTGCGTGTAACCGTGTCTCTGGTCTGTCTCTCAATCTAATCCTTTAGGATTTTGCTCTGCCTGAGAATGGGGAGTCTTGTTCCAAAGAGAACTTCATTTTTCTGTTTTCCCATCTACTCCCTTCACCAGTGCAATTTGTTTACTTTCTTCTAGAAGTCTAGAAAAGGTTTCTTTTCCCCTCCTTTTCTTTGTCTTCCCATTCTTTTTTCCTTACCTTGTTCCTCTGCCTTTCTAACCTGTCAACCAATCCCTGCCCTCAGGGTTTGCAATCTTATCTGCCTTACTCAGCCTGGGCCTGTTGTGTTTGGGTGCTAGGCTCTTAGGTAAGGGGACCCAGCTGGGCTTCATGTCAGGTGACCTTAAATAAAGACCTGAGGGCCCCTTTTCTTCTTGCTGTTTCTATGCCCCAACACTCTGACCTAATTTGGGGAGGTGGGGAAGGGAGGGAGAATGTTTACAGAGTAGCCTGGAGAATTGGCTCTCCTAGGCCCTCATCCTTCCTCCTCCAGCTTTTTTCAGTGTTTTCCCTATAGGTTGCCTGATAACTTATAAAGAAGTTTACAAGGATGAATAAATCCCTCCAGGGCTTTTCTGGTTACCCTGCAAAGATTATAGGAGGCTGAAAATATAACTGGTCTCCTCTTTTCCTGGCCCTTTGGCCCATAAGCTGCTATCCCTAACCCCAGCTCTCCAAACCTCCACCCCATTACCCCTCCCCCCAAAAAAAGGGTTGGGAGGAAGGTTAGGGTTAGAATGAGAAGAGGTAAGGGATGGGCTGGGCAGCTCCCAGCTCAAGTTCCTTGTAACTGAATGCCTAGGAAATCTCTGCTACCCTGGCCATTCTCCAGCATTTGCCTCAGAAAGTGGTATCTGTGTTTCCAGAGGAGGGAGAACTCTTTGTGTCTATGAGTGAGTGAGAGAGAATATATGTGTGTGTGTGTGTGTGTGTGTGTGTGTGTTTATCTCTGTGTTGGGGGGGCAGTCCCTGGGAGTAGGAAGGTTCACGTAGAGTAAGGTGAGGCTAGGTGTGTAGAAGAGTCCCTGACAGAATCTGAAGAGCAGGGGACCAGACTAGTGGTGGAGGGAGCGAATGTTCTCCCTGTGAGAGTTTTCTTATTTTTGCTCTTTCTTGATGGATTTGTGGGTCCTAAGGAGCCCACTGGAAAATGGAGCAGAAACAAGACAGTTTTACAGGAACCCAAACTTGAGAGCAGAGCTATGCAGATCTGTTCCATTTACCTGGGGCATCTCTCCACTCTGACGATCCCTGTTCTTCCAGGCAGGCTGAGGGAGTAAGGGAGCTGCTGCTAATGGAGGGAGATGATAGTGGGAAAAAGCAGGTTGGGAGGGCTGTGGTTAGAGAGAGCCTGAAACATGGACAAGAGAATGCCATTATTCTTCATTATTCCGATCATTACTCAACATACACTTTACCTTGATTCTGGGAGAGAGGTGGGGGAGGGGAGGTCTTAGGGTTGAGCTGGTTACGCTTACTCCATTCCTTGCTAACATCCCACTCCCTTAAACCCTCCCTCCTAACCCTAACCCCATCCAGGAACAAGATGTACCTGGGCTCCTGGAGTCAGAAAGAGGAAAAGGCAAGGAGATGGCTTCCTCCCACAACCTTCAGGACCCTTGCCAGGATCTCTAAGCACTTAACTCTCACAACTCTCCAACAGGGTTAAAGCAAGTGAAATTTTCCCCTGCCCATCTTTTCTTTTACTGTGTGAAGGGATAACCAGAGTATAGTTCCGTTATATGATAGGCTTTATATTGCATGAGAGGGAGCAACTTTGTCCCAGTATAAAGCCCATTTGGCAGGCAGATTAGTCTCTCTAACGCCATTTTGGGTGAACAGACAAAAGGAAAAGAAAAGGGGAGAGTAGTTGAGGATGGACATGTGCAGGTAGGACTCAGGTCCCTATGGTGGTATCCTACCTATTACCTCCCACATTGCTTTTGTTTGGGGAGAAGGGAAAGATAGGATTGAGGGTGAGATTTTGTTGTAGATAATTTTATTGTTCTCATTTAAAAAGGTTTCATTTCACTTCCAACTCAAAACAATATTTGGTCCCTCACAGGTGGGGGTGGGGAAGAGTGCCCTCAGGGTGAAAAGGTTCTATTATAAGTAGAGAAACGAGTTGGGGGGCGGTAAGAGGAAGAGCCCAAAGCTTCTTTAGTTTCAGTGACTGACCTCTGATTACTTCTGAGGGCAGTGTTCAAGGAGGGGAAGTGGTGAATACAAGAGGGTAAAGTCCTTGTGCTGGGAGTATTTGCCCATGACTGGCAGAGTTGGTATTTCGCAAGTTCCAGGAGGGGGATGGGGGAAAGAAGAGGAGGAGGAAGAAGAGGGTATAGGCCAAGCTACATTATGATTTGAGGACTTAGTCTTCTGCCATCGCACCATTTGGTTTTTAGATTACAGTGAAGAACAGTCTTCCCAGTCAGCATCGTGGAGCCCTTTTCTTTTGCCAGACATATTCTGGGAGCTCTGGGGGGTACAGTTCTTTCTCAGTGACCCCTCTGGAGCATGGAATGGAGATAGGGATGGAGAGCCTGGAAAACAGTGGCCTAGTCACCTCTGTACCATCGTTACTATTGTAATTTGATCTTGCTGTTGACTCACTTGCTTAAGCTTTGGGTTCTATGCTTTGTGGGATTGTCAGGTTTTAGCCTAACACCACCCTTTTCCTTCCCAGTGGAGAACATTTCCTTCTGTGTCTCCAGATCACCCTGTCCCTTCTTTTCTCCAAGCAGTCATGACAGCCCCATTTTCCCTTTCATCCTCCTAGCAGGTGGTGTAGTTAAGATACTAGTTGCCTATATCAATATAGCAGCCTTGCCCTAAGGTTCCAGAAACTGTGGCAGTAGGTGTTCCCTTCCCCCAGCTTGGTATTCTTTCTGGACAAGTTCTAACATGATATAGTTCTTAATCCTACTAAACTTTGGGACCTGCCCACTGCTCTACTTCCTCCCCTCCCCAGCCAGAAACTGGGGCCTTGAAGAACTGAGTCAATCTGTTAGACTGCTTGAGCCCTTCTCCCTGGGGGAGTGAGGATCTGGGTGGTCTGGGGTTATGTGCCCAGTGACTACAAGTGGAGAGTTTGGCCTGTAGCCCAGAGTCTGATGGGTCAGCTCTTAGTTACAGTTTCCTCACCTGTTGTCTCCTGTTTAATTAGTCACTCCTTTCTCTAGTCCCTTTTTCTAGTTCTTTGTTGCTCCTTCCATTAGTGAATTATGGGGAAGAGGAGAAAATTTCCTAGTTCTGGGAGCCTCTTTTGCTTACCCTTAGAAAGGCCTGCTTGGTTTAGGGTTGGTTTAGGAGTGGGGAAGATGGAAGGAGGGGCAGAGGGAAGGTTCTTCTGTCTTTAGTCAGTTTAGCAGCTGGTGAAATCTTAATCATTAGCCAGTAAGTAGATTAAAGCAAACTAGAGCTTGTGTCCCTCCATCCTGGGGTCCAAAAGAGAAGTACAGACCCTAAAGTTTGTATTTATAGAAGCCAAGAGAAATAAGACTATTGAGTTTTTCACTCAAATTGTGGGGAAGTGAGGATGATCTCTACCCTTCCAACCCAAACATTCATTCAGTAAGCTAAAATCGCTAACATTCCTGCCCCCACCCCGTCCCTGGCAGCTCCCTTTCCTGACTCCTTTTTTCCTGCCCTCTTTGGTCCCCTAGGATGCTGCAGACTTTATATGATTACTTCTGGTGGGAGCGATTGTGGCTGCCTGTGAACCTGACCTGGGCTGACCTGGAGGACCGTGATGGGCGCATCTATGCTAAAGCTTCTGACCTTTATATCACCCTACCCCTCGCCCTGCTTTTCCTCATCGTCAGATACTTCTTTGAGATGTGAGCATATTGCACTTCTGCCCTTCCTAGTCTTTCCCACCTGCCCTCTTTGACTGTCTCAGCCTAGTGATCATTGGTGGTTAGGCCTTGGTGTTCTGGCTCCTCTGTTTCTTGCCTACTGTGTCCCTACTTTGCCCTCCCCATGAAGGCAGCATTGTCTGCCTGAGGGTTTAGCTCCCCCAGGCCATTCTTTCAATAGCCATTTGTTTCCTCCCCTCCCCCAGGCCACTGGTGGACACAAGCTGCTTTGTCCAGAGCTGTGGGAAACAAAGGAGGCCAGAGGGGGTGCCAGGGAACCTCTCTCCAGCACTGAGCTGGGGAAACTGAGGCCATAGAGAAGGTTCTAAGCTCCCAGGTCCTTCCTAACCTCAGATGTCATAAGGGGTCCTTGAAAGGGACAGGCCCCTCTCCTTAACCGGATGCCTTTCCCAGTTATGTGGCAACACCGCTGGCTGCCCTCCTAAATGTGAAGGAGAAGACTCGGCTTCGAGCATCCCCCAACCCAACTTTGGAGAATTTCTATTGTACCAGAGGCAAACACCCTAAACAGGTAAGCCCCCACCCCTTATCCTCTCAAGTGCACCTGATGCATTGGAGGCCAGATCTTAGCGGGGCAGAGAGGGAAAGGATGCATCTTAGGTGAGCACTAGAAGGAAGAAATTGGTGAGGCAGCAGGAAAATGGAGAGTCCTGGCGTTGTAGCTGAAAGACCTTGGCTTACTTACTGGCCCTGCTCTTTTGTTTCTTGAGTGACTTTTGGTCAAGCATTTAACCCCCTTTGACCTATTTCATAAAATGAGAATTGGACTGTGACATGGACCTTTTCTGTTTTTTCCAGCTCTAAAATGATGATCCTTGGGTATGTCAATACTAGAGAGTAAAAGGGTCAATTTTGGGGACAAGGTCATGGCTGGAATCTGGTGCCCTGACTGTTAAAGGGGTTGATGCAGAAAAAGGAATGCAATGGAAGGTTGGGGTTTGGGATTGGGGAATGGAATTAGGAAGTTAGTACCAGAGAGATTGTTGAAGGTTCTGAGGGAGGTCAGCATTCAGTTGGATTGTCTATTTGAGTAGTCACTGCTAAGTTTTCTGTCTCTCCCCCACCCTCTCAGGCGGAGGTGGAGCTCTTGTCTCGGCAGAGTGGACTCTCAAGCCGTCAGGTAGAGCGATGGTTCCGTAGACGCCGAAATCAGGACCGGCCAAGCCTACTCAAGAAATTCCGGGAGGCCAGGTGGTAACAGAGCCAAGGGTGGTGGAGCAGGAGTTGAAAGGGATAGGGAGTAGCTGAGTGTGGGAAAGGATGAAATGGAGGTGTTGTGATGTTCTCTATATCTTGATAATGGAGGTAAAGAGTCATGAGTGTAGGTAGGGAGTCCAGGGTCTGGGTCTGTGCTCCCTATTCCTGTCCCACTGAGTCACCTTTGTTTCTTCTTCCAGTTGGAGATTCACCTTTTATCTTATTGCTTTCATTGCTGGCATGGCTGTCATTGTGGATGTGAGTGAGGGTAGGAGGGAGGAGTTGGAGGTTTGGCATAGGAGAGATGGAGTCATAAGACCTGGTCCCCTCTTCAATATTTCATCTTCTCTGATTTGCCACTATCTTTTCTCAGAAACCTTGGTTCTATGACATGAAGGAAGTATGGAAAGGTTATCCTATTCAGGTATGAGAAGTGGGGGCTACAGATCCTCATCTGGAGCTAGAGGCAAAGAGAGATTTGTGGTGGGGTGGGACTAGGTCAGACACTTGAAATGAAGGGAATCTGTAACATTCTGGGGAGGAACTGAGCTAAGAGAAATTTAAAGGCTTGGGAAGGCTGCTTGTTGGGGTAAATTGTATTATTCTAGAAGCGGTTAGTGTGGTGTGAAATGGGGTGGGTGGGTGGGTGGAGTGGGACTTCTGGGGAATATCCATGTTTTGGTGGGGCTCAGTTTTCCTTCCTCTCTCCTAGTCTATTATCCCTTCCCAGTACTGGTATTACATGATCGAACTCTCCTTCTACTGGTCCCTACTCTTCAGTATTGCTTCTGATGTTAAACGAAAGGTGGGCCAAGTGGCTGGCAAAGGGATGGTTTGGGGAATTCTCTATGTACTGGGTACTCCCATTCACTGCTAGAAGCTCTGTATGGTTGAGCTGAGTCTGAAAGGAAATAAGGGTGTGAGATCATCTCAGACTCTTCCTTTTATTTTAGGGTTAACCTTTTCAGTGTCATGGATCCCTTTGGCAGTCTGTTGAAATCTATGAACCCCTTCTCCTAATGTTTTTAAATGACTAAAATGAGATAGAAATACAAAGGAAACCAATTATATTGATATAGAGATGCAGTTTTTTCCCACATTCATGGAACCCCCAAATCTACAGACCCCCCCTTAGAGGTTCATGGGCCCCATTTTAGGAATCTGGGCTTTAAGGGGTAGGCAAGGACCTTATTACTTTGAGGGGCAAGGTTTGGAGGATACTTGGAAAAAGGAAACAGAAGGAGCTGTGGGGATAGAGAAACAAAGAAAAGTCCTCATCCCATGACCTCTGATCTCTTCCCTAGGATTTCAAAGAGCAGGTGATCCACCATGTGGCCACCATCATCCTCATCAGCTTCTCCTGGTTTGCCAACTACATCCGGGCAGGGACACTCATCATGGCTCTCCATGACTCCTCTGACTACCTGCTAGAGGTCAGGATTCCCCTGAGCTCCCTTAACCCAAGACCCCAGGCCATATAACTTCTCCCTGCATCTTAAACCTCCTCTGCCCCTTTTGCCTCCTTTAGGGACATCGGGTTGGAGTAAGGGGTCAATACCAATGTCCTGCTTATATACATACATATGTAGATACATGTATGTTGGAGGGGGAGATGGGGCCCTTGATGATGGCTACAGGGGCTGGGGGTGTTTATGCAGTCAGCCAAGATGTTTAACTACGCTGGATGGAAAAACACGTGCAACAATATCTTCATCGTCTTCGCCATTGTCTTCATCATTACTCGACTCGTCATCTTACCCTTCTGGTGAGTGGGAGCTCAGGGGTGCTGCCTGCTTAGGAGATGGGTCTCCCTCTGATTTTCTTGTTCTCTCAAGCCCCCTTCCCCACCTGCTTGTTGCTCTCCCTCTGTCCCCGACTCCCAGATCGTGACCTCATCTTCCCCAGCCTCCATCCCCCACCACATCCCCAGTGTTCGCCTCTCTGTCCCTCAGGATCCTGCACTGCACAGTGGTGTATCCTCTGCAGCTGTATCCTGCCTTTTTTGGTTATTACTTCTTCAACTCCATGATGGGTGTGCTGCAAGTGCTGCACATCTTCTGGGCCTACCTCATCCTTCGAATGGCCCACAAGTTTGTAACTGGAAAGGTGAGGACTCCTTCCACTCTGTATCTCCTTTGCTACGACTCAGTTCCTCCCTCCCCCAGTACATTTCCTTCATGATCCACGAGTCAAGGCAAAAGGAATTAAGACCTTCCTACCCCCGAGTACCAGAGCTCAGCCCTCCTTCACATCAGATATGCTCCCCAGTTTAAAAATTAGCACCCTAAGGAGGGGAGGGAAGGAGTTGCTACATAGCTTCTGATCTCTGGCCTCCTTTCCTCTTTTTTAGCTGGTAGAAGATGAACGCAGTGATCGGGAAGAGACGGAGAGTTCAGAGGGCGAGGAGGCTATCACTGGTGGGGGCATGAAGAGCCATCATCTAGCCAATGGTCATCCTATTCTTAACAATAACCACAGAAAAAATGACTGAGCCTGGGTCCCTACTGCCCCTCAGCCTTATTTCATAAAGCCAAGAAACCACCCCTTCCTACCACAAAGGGAAGACATCCCTTTGGGGGGGGTCAGAGGTCACCAATATCTGGGGGTGGGAAGTGAAAGGGTAAGTTTTCTCCCTTTCCCTTCACCCCTCCCTCCAATTGCCCTTTTTCCTGGTCACCCAGTTGCCTTTAAACCAAACTCCTGTCCATCTTGTGAGGGGGATTGGTCATAGTCTCTGTTACAGGGGGAGGTTTCCTCCCCCCTCCCTAAGCTGCCTGTCCTGTCATTCATTTCTGGGACAAATCTTCCCCTGCCCTACCCATAGGCTTGGGTTCAGAGTGAGGGGGACGACTCGCATTCCTTACCATAGTTTCAGATCAGGGGCTCCAGAGACAGAGTCTGTGCCTTACCATTCCCTTTTTGGGTCTCATTCTGCCAAAGCTAGACCCTCTTCCTTCTAATTATTCCAGGTTCCCTACCGTGCCTGGGGACCAAAGCTGAGCTGCCTAATCCTTTCCTTCCTCTAACCAGAGACATCTAGCAATCAAGTGTCCGAGGGTTAGCACGATCCTTGCCGTCTCTGCCCAGGGCAGGGCCCCCACCCAGGGCCTCAGCACAAGGATATCATTTTCCCTTCTGTCACGCCTTTCTAGCCTCCTGTACAGGATCCTAGATTCTTCCCCTCCTCAGCCTTTTCCCCCCTTTTTTACTCTCCTCCTCCTCCTCTGTCAGGCTAGCTTGACTGAAGTGGGGCGGCAACTAGTTTTACTTATTTATTGTACTTTGGAGTTTTGGTTTTCAGTTTGAAAGCCTGAACTACAAATAGCCTAGGGAGAGGAGGGTGACAGACATTTCAGTAGAGAGGACCATATCAAACCATTTCAAACCCACAGACCAAATGTTGTACTGTTTGTGTGTGTGTGTTTTTTTAATTAAAATATATTAAAGATTAAATAAAACATGACAAGAGACATGTGAGAACATGGGGATTTGGTGGGGAACAAGAAAACACTTTATCTTTTTCACAACTAACCTTAAAATTCCACACACATTCCCCCCACCCGCCCTTTAACTTCACCTGGCACGTGGACATAGGACAAAGGACTAACTGATGATCCAAGATGCTTAGGACAGTGTGTATGGGTGAAAAGAACAAACTAAGATCATAGGATCAGGCTCCCTTGTCTGCAGAAGAGAGCTGGGAAAGAAAAATCAAACCAGAGAGACACAGATTTACCTCCTTGTTAAAAGATTTTCAAGGAAGAATACAAAGTGGGGTGGGAAAAACAACCCCCATCTCGGGGACAGATTAGGTCTGCCAAACTCATGTGAATGTGGTAAAAGGGAAGGAGGAGAAGATGGGACAGGAATGGAAGGACCCTGTCCACAAACTGTGATCTCCTTAAACTGACATGCTGGGAAGGTAGACTGGGGGGGTGGGGAGACGGGCCCTGCTGGATAGCACCACACTGGAAGGGACCCTCAAACTGCAGGGTTCCCATTTTTATCTATTTGAGGAAGGGGAGGCGGGATCAAGTCCATTGGATAGGGCCATAGTTTGAGATGACTCAGAGGGTCCTGAACGTGGCAGGGAGATTTAAAGAAGCCGTCCTCGGCACTCTATGGCCCCACAGCAGCACAGCAGCTCCTTCCCCTCCACGCTGCCCACCTCATAGTTATAGTCCCAGGTCAGTTCTGTTCCAGCCCGTATCCTCCTGGAAAAAGGAATGGGAAACAAGGAATGGACACAGCACAGAAAGCCCAACAGTCCCGGAGCCCTTCTGGTCCAAAGGTAAAAAAAGGTGCATGGCTGGGGAATTTCCACCTTAGTTCCTGCTGCCAAGCCCAGACCCCTTTCTTCTTTTTCTCCCTTATTCTTACTTGCTGGCAAAGAAAGCCACCCAGGGGAAACGAAGGTCGTGTGTGTCGACAAAGACATTCTGGACAAACAGGTTAGGACTGCAGCTGTGCTGTGGGTATGGAAACAGGATGAAGTCAGAATTGAGAATGAATGGTCACAACTTGGGTGGGAATATCGAATATGGTTGGACTCGAGGACAGGGACAAAAGTAAGTGAACGCTAAAAGCCAAGAGGGAGGCAAGAGCTGGTGGGTCTCCAACCCTGAGGAGATATCTTACCGAAATGCTTTAGGCTAAATGCTTCTCTGGAGGCAAAGAAAGAGACAAGTTGGACCCTTGAGGTTAAATAATGAGGCCTAATAAGGTGGGTGGGGTTTTTGGTCCAAGAACAAGGGGGTTGGGATGTGCTTGTTTTCAGGTCCTTAGGGTGTCCAGTCTTGGGGATCTTTGGGGTGTCAGGGAAGGGAAACTCACATTGAGATAGCGGCCCAGGTTGCCCTCTAGCTTGGCATCAATGATGTAGCAAGACTCCTCGCCATCATAGAACTGGCGCGTATTCTTGCGGACAGGTACGCTCTCACCCTTGTCTGCGGATGCCATATTGGTTGACTTGATAGCAATGCCATGTGTTGATTTTAAAGCAAAACCACGTGTGGATTTCACAGCCACCTGACGTTTGACTGGGCCTGTGGAGAAATGAGAAGATAAAAGTCTGGGAGACAGCACAGTCTGGCCCAGCAGGGAAGCCCTGAACCTAGAACCAGTAAAGGGCTGAGTTCAAATCTCAGCTCTGACAGTGGCCATGTGACCTTGGGTGGACATTAACTTCACAGGTTTGAGATGGAAATCAAATGAGATAATACATTTAAAGCACTGTGCAAACTGAAGTATTTTGTAGAGGTCAGTTATTGGTATCCCATCTGTACTCTTCCCTGCAGGTATGCTGTTCACTATACCAAAAAGACATGAGTCTGGGATGCTTAGCACCTGGCATTGGGATTTTTTTTTTTTTAGGTAAAGCTACACCAACCTGACAGAATAGCTGCTGGAGAAGAGGGTTAGCAAACTAAGAATGGGAAGGAGACGGTGGGCCTGGGCACTAGGCTTTCCACGGTATTCCAGCACTTAAAATCCCTTAATAAATGCCCCTTAAATTCACCCAAAGTACCAGACAGGTTCTTCTTGTCTTCAAAATCCTCGCCATCAGAGCCAGATGAGATGGTCTGGATGTCATCACTGTCAGCTGCGGTAGCTGGAGCCTGACCAGCCCCGGGCTTTCGGCTTGTCCCACTTTCCCCCTCGCTTTCTGTGCTGCTGGACAGTGTCAGAACATCCTGGCAGAAGGATTGGGGTTAAGGAACCATGAACAGTACCTCTCCAGGAATGGCTAGGGATGGGGAAATCTGGGCTCTCTGCCTCAGTTCTCAACAATGAATCAATAGGTGGAAAATGGAGTGTGGAGCGAAGGTAAAGGACAGAAATGCAAGGGGCTGATTCTAAAGCAGGAAAAAAGTTAGACCACAGTGTGGGATGAGTCAAGAAGCCAGAGCCATGGAGGAACAAGAAGGAACCCTATTTCTACCCTCAACTAATAAAATTATGAAGACTACAAGATGGTAAAAATGCTTTCCCTGGCTTTAGGACTAAGACTAGCAGAATCACGGAGAAAACAGAAGCTACGCAGCATCACTTACATCAGGGTTGGCTTGGGCAGGCCCCACAAGCCTCCGGGCCTGATGCGTATTGGTCTTGCTAGGTGGGCACTTGATCCCTTCAGTCTTCAAGGGGGATGGGTTGTAACCAAAAGTCCTGGAACTTTCACTAGGCCTAGTGTGCAAAACAGAATGGGGAGAGTGTTTGTCAGAGCTTCTTCCCATCATTGTCAGACTGTGGTGGAGGACAGATCTAGAAACAGGGAGTTAGTAACAGAAGATACTTACGACAAAATCTTGTTCTGTTCATCAGGCTCCTGGGAAATACAACAGCAAATGCAAAGTTAAATTTTTTTTTCTTTTAAAATTCCACAATAATACACTTTCCCCGTGCCCTCCTGACTAAGGAACAGTGCCGAGTGGGACTGTGCTGTCTAAAGGCAGAGGGCGGATGGAGTGACCCTGCATCTTAGTCACAGCCACAGTGGGCTCAGCAACACTTCTGGGAGAGAAGGCTTCAGGAAGGAGAGTGGGCCTTCTGGCAGCCCTCAGAGGAAGAGAACCTTAAGAGCTGAGAGTGGACTCAAATGGCCTTGAGCTTCAGTTTCCACTTCCAACACAGAGGCTATTTAATGGAACACAAGAATCTACATAGTCAATGCTTCATTCTTGGATGACCCCAAATAGTAGACAATACAAAATCCATTTCACTAGAGATTTTGGAATTCATCAGATAATTTCTCTTGCTAATGTTTTGTTCATAATATTAAAATGAATCATATTTCCTGGACACATATTCACGGTGGGAGATGGCAACCTAGGCCAACCTAGTTGGGTAATGGGGAAGGCTGCATGGATATAAATTAAACATTTGCTAAAAATCATCCAGAAAGTGTACAACCCCCATGATAATTCAGAAAGATGATTGTATAAAGGATCAGCACAGAAAGCCCCTGGATTCTGAACTGCTCACCTCTTTCTTGGGTGGCTTGATATCCCCTTCTTCTTTGACCCCTACCCCTGAGATGGAGGGCTTCTCTCCATCCCCACGGCCTCCCCCAGCCCTCCCATCTCCACCCTCGCTGGTCCGGAAGGAAGAACGGCTATCCGAGTCAGCAAAGCTGCCATCACTGACGTTGTTGCAGCTTAGCCATGTGGCCACTTTGTTCTTGGGTGTGTCCTCTGAGGAAGGAGGTTTACAGCCCCCTATGGAAGATGGCGGGGCAGAAAGATGGGAAGGGCCAGAGTCTGGGGGGCGGGAGTCTTTGGAGGCCGTCTCAGACAACCCATTCTCTTTCTGGCCTCTTGTCTGCCGCCGGGTGGCATAACTACGCCAGACTGAACTGGTACTAAAGTCCTCATCTTTGCAAAAGTTATCATCTGAACTGTCATCATTGGACTCTTCAGGGTCCTCGGTGCCACTGTTGCCATCCTCTTGGTCCTTCAGGTCCACACCGCTGCTGTCAGAGGAGCAAGGGGC